TATGTATGTATGTATGTACATAATTGGATAGATGTATGTACGTCGCACATTTTTCTTTTTAGGTGATAAACTATTATGTTTCTCATTTCTGAAGTAAATAGTCGATCGATTGTTTATCTTTTTATTAATGACAATGATATTTTGTTCATTTTTATTTCTTTTGTATTGTATATTGCGTTTTTTTGCAACTTAGGGCTTCCTATTCATTTTTAATTAACGTTGACACATTTGATATTATTCCTTTCGTAAGAAACAACAGAAATAACCAAGTATAAATTTTTCCCCTTGTTCGTGTATTCATGTACTACTAGTTACAATTACACAAAACTTTTAAACAACAATGTTCACGAGTACAAATACGACACGGAATACATTTGTATCGGATTTCTTAACATGACAAGCAAAATTAATAGAATAAATCATAAAAATAATAAGATCGCAATGAGAATTATATTACCTTTTTGTATTTATTATTATCGTAATAAGAATTAGTGTTTAGAAAAGAACAAAAAACTATTATTTACTAACTTCATTCGATCATCGTATTGTTTAAATTGATGCGCATTTTCGCGCTTGCTGAAGAGCGACACCAGCTGATTATTACAGCAATCGTTCCCACTCGACAAAACGTAGGTATATGCTAACAGCGATCTATAATCTTGCAGTTCACCAGTGCAATTTCATATTAAATCCTCTTAAAAGGAGGTTTTCAAAAAACAAGAAAATGCGGTCTTCTTTGCTACGTAATCCTACGGTAATAATAATTCTTCCTCCTTTGTTTTTTATTTGTTAAAAAAACATCGTTCCTTATTTATTAACATAAATCCAGCTAGCTAGTTGTTATATAAATGATTTGATACTGTTCTGTATGTCACTTTCTGTCTTAGTCCAGCAATTATATTCTTTCTGCAATCGAATTTTAATTATTTTCTTGTTTCTTATAATTTTCCAATGATTATCATTAATTGTAAGGCCTTTAATTACAAGTACACGGCTAAGGCTCCATTAATTACAAGTACATTTGAAAATAGCTTGCTTTTTTAAAATTTTGAGATCTTCTATCAAGATTAAAAACAATTTTTATTATGTACTAGGTTAGATATTATGCAGTTGCAGCAACTGCACCAAGTGCAGCTTGTACAGCAACTCCAGAATGTAAAGTTTTGAGCAATAAAGTTACTGTTGCGGCTTATGATAACAATTCTCCAATTGCACAGGTGTCCATTGTTTTCAGGTATTTAAAATCTGAATAAATAATATGTATAGATTAATTTGTAATATTTTTCTTGTACATGAGTATTTAATTTATAGAGCTGGATCAAGAAATGAAACGTATGATACACAAGGTATAGCACATCATTTGCGGATAGCTGCAGGACTAGGTACATCAGTCTCAAGTGCTTTTGCTATAACAAGGAATATTCAACAACGTGGTGGAAATTTAATAACCACTCTTGATCGTGAAAGTATAGCATATACATTGCAGATCACTAGAAATCATCTGTAAATTTTTTTATGTTTTGTTATCTGCATTTGGCTAAAATTTTTACTATGAGTTATTTTTTTTATTAATAGGGAAGATTCTCTTCAATATCTAGAATCTGCTGTTACTAAGCAAATTTTTAAACCATGGGAAGTACAGGATCAGTTGCCCAGATTAAAATATGAACTAGCTTCTGTATCTGATACAGTTTGGGTAATTGAATTATTGCATAAAGCAGCTTATCGCAGTGGACTTGGATATTCTCTTTTCTGTCCTGAACACAAAGTAGGCTTTAATTCAGAAAATGTAAGTATAATTTTTATAAATAACTTTGACAACTAATGAAAAATTCTTAGTATATTTTATTTACTTAGTATATTTACCTTTTATTTATAGCTACTGCATTTTGTCAATACTTGGTGTACTGCACCTAGATGTGCAGTTGTTGGCACTGGTGTTTCACTAGCAGAACTTAGTGCTTTAGGATCAAATTTAAGTATTAAATCAGCAGATAAGCCAACTGAAGCAACAAAATATTATGGCGATGAAATTCGTAAAGAAACTTGCGCAAGTTTAACTAATGTAGCATTAGCTGTGGAAGGTGTAAGCTTGAAAGATGAGAAAGAAGCTTTAGCATGTGCGATATTGCAAAGAACGAATGGTGTAACAAGAGTTAAATGGGGATCTAGTGTAACATCACTACATAAACAACTTTCGAGAGTTGCAGGATCAGAACTATTCGGTGCATTGACCTTCAATGCTAGCTATACTGATTCAGGACTTTTTGGTGTCGTGTTATGTGCAACACCCGACATAATAGGATCTGTAAGTAATACAGAATATTGTAACTATAGTAATAAATATTATCCTAATATTAATCTCATTTTATTGCAGTTGACAAAAGAAACTGCTAAATGGTTGAAATCTTTAAAAGTATCTGAAAATGAGGTTGTTCGTGGTAAAAATATATTAAAAACTGAAATTTTGGATGCAGCAGATAATGTAGTTTGTTTATTAGAAAGCTTGCAACAACAAGCTTTGTTAAAAGGACAAGTCTCTTCACCAATATCAATAGCTAATGCTGTTGATAAAATTTCTGCATCTGATGTTAAAGCTGTATGTATATCAATAGTATCAAACTGTAATTTTTTACATTCTTCAGTTGTACAATAAATGTTTTACAGGTTGCAGATAAACTTGCTAAAGGAAGATTATCCTTAGCTGCTATTGGTAATTTGAAAACTGTACCATATCTTAATGAATTAAAATAAATTTAATAGTTTTTCATCTAATCACACACAAGTAACACAAAAGCAATACCTTCTTTAACATTGCGAAGATTAAAACTGAGATATAAAAAAAGTCACCCATCTCAATCGGCGCAACATATTTAATATTCATGTGCATTTTGCTGCAGTGAATGTAATTCTGTAGATATGAATAAAAATAAAAATTCTTTATTTCGAATTTTACTTTTTATATAATTATCTTAATGACTTTCTACCACAAATGCATTATTAAATCTGTCATCTGTATATACATATTTATATAAAAAAATATTTTACAATTTCATTTATGATTAATGATGATAAAAGAAATAATTTATGTTAAATATTGTTGTATTTTAGTAGAGTTTTATTTCTTCTATCGTATAAAATTTGTTACGATTCTTTTGTAATAATTTCGATGATTTGCCACTAATTGTTCTTTTCAAAATGGGCCTCATATTTTCCATATCTTTGAATACTTGCAACTGCAAAAAGAAAGTAATTAGTAAAAAAGTCAAAATACTTATTGAAGTAGTTATACTAAGTTTTATATAAACTTACATGATCATCTAAAACATAACTAAGCTTATTAAGTAGCATTGATACTTCTGGATCTCGTGATAGTATGTAATGTTGATAATGGGACTCTAACAAAAGACTAGACCATTCATATAACTGTTTCTCAGTTGGTTGCTGTACAATATCATGACAAAAATCTTGAGCGTCTAATTTTTGGATTAAGTATTGCAATAATCGAAGTATTTCATCAAAATTCAAACCACTCTTAAGATAAGATGATAAAGAAATATCAGAATAAGTAAGACTAAAAATTTTGTCAAGAAAATCATTTCTTGAATGTAAATTTTTGACAGTCGATAAATCCTCAGTCGTACCATTTTGTAACGGTAAAAACGTTTCGTCAGGATTTCTTAACGAAAATATTAGGAGATCAATCAATAACTTCTCTGGCAAATCTTTCAAATTATTTAAACACCATATAATTGACTCAACATCTTTCGATTCAATCAACTCCGGAATCAATATTTCTTGTATCGCGGCATCGCTTAATCCTTCTTTTATGTAAGATGATATCTGCTTGAAAAATTTTTTCGCAGGTTTTTGTCTTGGTTGTTTAATTAAAGTTGTGTCATTCTTTTCCCACTGCGCAACTGTTGACTCTTGTATTACCATGATATCATTATCATCAATATTCTCATCATCGTTTTTAAAGCGCAAAGATGATCCAAGTAAAGTTGCTATTTTCTGAGGTGCGAGGTGATAGGGAGCAATTGCTAAATGTCTATTAGCAGCAAGTAACAACTTATCCTCAATTTTCCACAGCTTTGCATCTCTTGTATACAATTTCAATTTCTGAGTATCTTGTATTAGTTTGAACTGTACATTATAAATCATTAATATGGCTCCTTCCTCAGAGACATCAGCCCCATAAATTGCCACAGTTCCCTCATTTAGAGATGTCATAACTACTGGATGTTTAGTATTAATATTATTAATAATACCAATTAAAGTACTTAAAGTAGATTCATTATTGATTTCCATTAAAGGATGACTATACAATCGACCATGTGACCCTGAGTAGTAGGAAATAAATATATAAATTAATGTAATATTAAAATATTTAAAAAGAAATTAGAGATTTAAAAACTTACATAACGTTAGAAGACAAGCTTTATTTTTAGCTTGTAACACAGTATGACCAACTAATTCTTCTGATTTTCTCTTTAACTCCAGTCTTTTGACACAATCCGCTTCTTCAGAATAGGTTTCATTGTTTAGTTTAACTATAACACAATTGTACGTTCCTTCATTGTTAGTTAATATACATAAGTTTATTTTATCACTAACGCGGATCAAATAACAATCCAATATTTTCTCATTGACTTTCAATATTCCTTCTTTGGACCAAGATCTTCTGTTTTGTATGGCTTTTTCTAATGAAGCGGTAGCTCCATCTTTGCGTACCAATATAGGCGGACAATTTTCAAGCGTAAGAATGGTATGCAAAGGAGACTGAAATTTATAGCCCTTGATGCTATTTAAATCCGTTTCATCGGCCGTCCAAAGACGTATCTTTTTTTCATTAAATACCGCGGCGTATTGACATGTTGTTTCATCATAAATAACTTGTGTCGTCAATCGAACTTTACTGGTCCAACTACTTAATTGTTTTAAATCCTGCAGCTGTGAAATAAATTATATCATTCACAGATAACAAACAATATTGATTATTGTAATGTAAATAAATGTTATTAATACAATAGCTTACCTTATACCGGATTACAATGTTTCTTCCTAATGTTACGATTGCACATCCACTTTCTGAATCTCTTTCGACACCTAACAAATTCTGTTGATCGATAAGGGGACATAACGTATAATACGAATGAAGTTTTGCCATATCGAACGTTTTAAAGCAGCTTTTTTTCCCACTCACGTGTTTAAAACGAAATGGTATATACTTCACTAACTAGCATTTGGTTTCGAAACTTTAACATCTTCATATAATAATAATGAATATATATATATATATATATGAATATATATATATATATTTTCTCAATGATTTAGTTCTTAATTCTACATTAATATAATGTTGAATCAATATTAAATGATATGAAAAATAGAATTCGAATTTTATTACGAATTATGAAATCCAAACAGGTTAGTTCTGCGAGGTAAATATAGCGCCCTCGTGATTCTAAAATGCATACTATGCTTATTTAAAATTTTAAAAACAAAGTTTCCCGCGAATTATAAAGCATCTACATCAGATCAATGGTATTTTAACAAAGTATGTAGGTAAAAGGCTCCAAAAATATTTTTATTACGTATATACTAAATCCCGTTTCTTTTTCGTAACGTTTAATCCATATGATGAATCACTTAACTTTCGTTTGAAACTATTTTGGAAATCTGTTATATATTTATGTATTCAAACTGAAATATCTTTATATAAGGCTTGTAGAGTTTGCTTGAAACTATACTGTGATGTTTGATAATTAAAAATCTAATCAATAGCGCTTGAATTGTGTTTGATATAAACTGATATAAATAAAATTTTCCTTCTGGAAAGTAACTGCAAATTAAATATTATTTATGTTGTAAATAATAAATGCATCTATCATTTGTGTCCACCACTTCGGTTGACTGAAGAAGGTCGGGAAGGGATAAAGCTATATATGCTGAGGGTGACTTGAACAATACTTGAGTTTGCCCAGACCACTCAGAAAGAGTTTTGAGATAATAATATAATTTTTAACAGAACATACGATTTATTTCTCTCTATGTTGGTGTAAAAAATTTGTGATCTCACAATCAGTAAAATTCACTTTTGCTGATAAATAAAATATATTTTTATTGGAAACTTTCGCTGTAGTGACCAAGAATGCAACCATTATTTACAGTTTTTCTTCTATACTTATTTGTTGGTAAGTCAATTGAAGTTTATTTTATAAATTGCATTATTTCGATATGACGAGATCAACTGTTTTCTCAATGTATTCTTTAAAATTTACTTAACATCCTTCTACTTCTGATTGAGACGCGTTTCGTGGATAGCTGCATAACATCACGGAGTTCATCGTATCTCATTGTCGATCCGATTGGAATACCAATGGAAAAGGCAGAAAAAGATGGGTGTGGAAATGCAGCAAAACATAAACATTTCATCCTTTCTTTTACCTTTTCTCTGTCACGAGATTACAACTCGACTGTTAAAAAGCTTCAAAATCACTTAATGTTTTGTTCCAATTGTTTTATTCTTAGGATTCGATTATACAGTTTCACTAGAAGAAGAAATAGAGAATGATCGTTGCGAGATGATGATGAGAAAGATTGATTCTGATGACAAAGGAATTATAACGGACAATACACCGTCTAGATTGCATTCAACGTGGATATCGCAAGAGTAAAAGTTTTTATAATAGATGCTTTCCGGACTAAAGATTCTAAATATTTTTCGACCAAGGAAATATTATTTAATATAACATTTTAAATTTCCTATAAATACATTATTATTTTTTCTTCAGATGTGAGATACGAGCTGGTCCAAAATATATCATAAGGAAATATAGTTTTTTTAAGAACGACTCGTTCCTTTTATTACAATATCATTATGACGACGAATCATGCAGCGTCGCAACATACACTGTTGTAGCGCGTGGTTCTGTTAAAATTTTATCTCCGTCTATTGCAATTTCTGGTGCTGTGGAAACTAGCATACAATTGGACTCGGTTTATTTGATACCATTTAATAGACAGGTAGGTCAATCGTTCTTTCGATGTTAAAAAAGTCAAAGATCAAATGACAGAGAACTTTTACATTGAAATTGTCAGGTCGCCCATAAATTTGGACGTATAATGAACGCAAGCTGCGGTGGTATCGAAACAAAGTGGCGTCCTTATTTGGTACAGCTTATCTACGAACGATCTACAAATTCTTCATCACCCATGAATTTAAATATGTACGATCTGAATTCTAATTCTCTTCAAAGTCGTCTATTGCGGCTAAGGAAGCGACACACAATGGACTGTTTGAAATCTTTTGAAATTGATTTCTCGGAATTGAAATTACTCCGAGTAGAAATAAAACGATCCAATTTCGTTGCAAAGTCACTGAAGAATGAAGAGAATGGTGAAGATAAAACGCGTATAAGAATTGAATTATTGCTTGGTGGACTTGCACGAAATATTCGTTCCCAGAAAATACAACAGGCTCCAAATCATTTGCAATCTACGTCTTTGTTACGTGCTGATAGGGTAAAAATGCGCAGAATGCATGTAATATTCAAAAATATATAAATTATAGAAAGGTATAATGCCTTCTATAATAATTAATAGATGAAACATTTTTTTTTTAATATTATAGGCTGCTGACTGTCCAATTTGTGGAAGTGTATATCGCGCTACCGAGTACAGTCCACCTTTGTTTCATCAAGCGCCTCCACTTCCGGCGATTATAGGCGGTGTTTGGTTGAGTATCAGATGCGAAAGTGTTGATGGAGGATTTTGGTCTAAGAGATTTTTTCGAATTCATTCCGATGACAGCAGATGGTTCGCGCGTTGGACTTATTACGTTGATTCTACATGTTCGAATTCGTTATATTCAATCAATGCAGCTGGAAATTATATTCAACGTGCTGTTCGACAAAGACGAGATGTTGAAAATTCGAATACAAAGACATCCAATATTGAAGACTTGGAAAAGCCTGAGAAAAATCTTGTATTGAATATACACCGTCGTTTATTCAAAAATACTGAAGAATTGAATAGTTTAGAACTAAAACAAAGGCAGAAGATGAAGATTAATCAAGAAGAATCCATTGTTGGTAATTTTAAGGTCCAGAAAGATAAGTTACCTTCTGGGACAAGTGAATTAGAATTAAAAATTCTTGAATGTTCATTAATTCCTGTTGATAAGATAACACCAATTAGTTGCAAAGGAACTATTAAAGAAATTAAGCACATAAAAAACGAAGCAGGTTTATGGACAAAAAATTGCATACTTGGAACTAACTTCGAACCTCCAGCGATTTTGAAGTTTAAAGCAAGAATTGGTCTTGATTGGAAAGGGGATTATACTCTGCTTTTAGCATCATGGAAAGATGATCTTTGGGAAGCTCCTCTTCATCAATGTTCTGAGATAACTTCGCGAAACTATTTTCGACAATCCTGGCCTTTGCTTGTTTTTCGAAGAGGCAATCGGTATGATCGATTCAGTCGATATAGACGAGATTGGTTTTCTTCTTCATTTGCCATGAGTCTTACAAGTTCCTCGTTTATACATTCCATCGTTCTATTTTTGTTATATTGGTTACATTTCTTTTCTTATATTGGTTATTAATGATAAAATTAAAATCATTCTCTTCCAAAGATAATCGTAAGGACAGAAAACAGATCAGGGTACATATGCAGCATATGCATTATAGATGAATAGTGCAACAAGAACAATATATTACACTCCTTTATACTTTTGATAAATTTCAGATGAATTCTGAAATTTTTGACAAATGATTAGATTTCATTACTTATTGTATATCATTAAACACATAATGTTATACGATTATGTACCTACATGTGCTAAATGATGGAAAGCATTATAATGAACTAAATAAATGTAATTATAAAAAAATAATTTGTGTCACATCGAGTCTTTAAATACATTTTATTTATAAAATGAAAAGAATATAATTACTTTTCTGCTTTCTTTAATTTTGCGAAAGCTTGTGTTTTCATCACTTTTATGACGATCTTCTGCTCTTCAATAAGGAAAGCTCTAACAATCCTACAAATGTAAGTTTAATAGTATAATGAATCTCTATAGACAATTATTTTGTGGAAATAAAGAAAATCAACCTTTCTTTGACACATTTATGGCAGAGGACACCACCATATACTCGTTTCACAGTTTTTTTTCGCCTACACATTCGTGATCTTTCCATAGGCCTCGCTGGTTGAATGCCTCTTAATTTATCTTTACACTGACCACATCTGGGGATTTTCTTCGGTTTTTTAAGGTATTGGTATACTAATTTTCCTCCAGGAGTGCGCACACTGTAAATTTACAAACGATAAAACATGCAAGTTTCTAATAAATTAATTAAAATAATAGATAATTAAAACAAATAATATTTTAAATTTAATGAAATTTATGATGACATAATTTTAAACAGTGGACATGTGAATTTTACATGTCGAAGTGAACCAAAACATAACCTTAAATAATCAAATGTTTATGCTACTAGAAGTTTTATAAAAAATTTCCCATATTATGAAAATAGTGCAGTGTTATATTAAATACAACAATCCCCTTGTTATTATTTAAAAAAAACGAATACTTACACGCGTCTCCTATTACTCTTTGTATTATAGGAGAGCCGACGTCGATATGTCAATCTCTGCACCATTTTGATTCTGAAATCTAAATTTGCACAAAGGTTTGTTCATATAACAATAAATTATATCATCAAAGGGTGTAGACTTCAAAGTAATTATAGAAACATCTTCACCTTTGAGGATTAAATTAAATTACTTGGGTACTAAAACGTAACATAAAACTCAAACGAACCTTGCGTAGAACGAACCGGAAAAGGAAGTTACTTCTTCGAGAAAATTTCACTGTGTGCAAACTGTATGTATAGAACTGTATCTTGAACAGAACTGCCCTCTGGTGTTGAATGAATAGAAACGTTCTTCCATGAAGGAAAAGCATACTAGAAAAATTTAATGATAAACGATCGAAAGACGGTCTGATTAGTTCTACCTTCTTGCTGCTATGTGGCGTTAGTGTTTCAATGTTCAATTGCAAACGCTGATTACCATTAATTTATAAACATTAGAACTATGAAAGATTGTGAAATAAATTTTTGAACGGTAAGAGCAGAGTTTCTTTAGAAGATAACTAAAATAAAGAAGTCGCTTTCACTGTCTAGAAATTAACGAAAGCTTGTTAATGAAAGAGTAAGCTTGTTAGACGATACATAGATTAAACTGAACTCTCGTAATAAGAATCAAAGAAAATTATTTTTGTTTAAACGATATTTTCGAGATAAGTAATAGCATGAAAATCTTAAAATTAAGAATATATTTTAAATCAACTGCATAGGAAATTATAAATAAAATGCCAAGTTAATGTTTTATGAATGAGGTTCATGAGTGAACAAAGAATATCCCCTTTCTTTTTTTTTTTTTACATCGTATAAGGTATATTATTTATTATATCTTATTTACATTCAACATCGTCTTGACAACACCATAGGAAAAATGCTTGTTTGTTTTAGACACATTCCAAAATTTGTCGACATTAACTTCTCTTATTGCATCTGTCGCGCTTTGTCGCTTTTTGTATTTTTTTCTTTTTTTGTTTTTTTTTTTTTTTTTTTTTTCTATACAATGAAATCGAGGACACACGATGG